AGACTTGAAAAGCATCATGCTAAGGAAAATTAGCAAGTCGGAGAAAGATAAATATAAAATGATCTCACTCATTTGTGGAATACAATGAACGACATAAACTGATGAACAAAAATAGAGCCAGAGGGGGGAAAAATATTCTAGAATATAATAGAAGTAATCCTGTTATTTGCAGGTTTATAATATTTCCTACAACTTCTGTGATATCATACTATGTTAGTACAGTTTTGGTAATATTATTATACTTAAAATATCTTTATTCTTAAAATATTAATTTATATTGCATGTAATATTATATGTAAGATCATTTTCTTAAATAATTGGTTTGTTGCATGTAACATTATCATTTAAAATCATTTTTCTTGAGATATTAATATTTATTGCATGTAACATTATTTAAGATTGTTTTTCTCGAAATATTAAGGTTTACTGCATGTAACATTATTATATTTAAAATCCATCTTGAAATAAAAAAACTGAAAATATAATAACAGGTGTGTGGGGGAGATGTGGAGAAATTGGAATCCTATGCACACTGCTGGTGGGATGTAAAATGGTACACCGCTGTGGAAACCCATCTGGCATTTTCCCAGAAGGTTAAGTGTAGAGTTCCTGTATGACTCAGAAATGCCTCTCCTAGGTATAAACCCAAGAGAAATGAACACATATGTTCACTTGTGCATGAATGTTCTTATACACAAATGTTCTTAGTAGCATTATTCATAATAGCCGAAAAGTAGAACTCAATGTCCATCATCTGATGAATGACTAATTAAAATGTAGTATATCCATACAGTGGAGTATCATCTGACAATAAAAATAAGTACTGATATATGCTACAAGATGGATAAACCTTGAAACATCTACACTAATAAAAGAGAAAAATGGTAATTGGCGTACAACGATACCCTTTTCATTGGCTAATCAGGGCTATATGCAAATTAACTGCCAACTCAGGTGGCAGTTAACTGACAACAAAATGGCGTTTAATTTGCATATGTAGGCACAATGCAGGGAGGTGAAAGGGAAAGCAGGAAGAAGCCCCCTGCCACTGACAGTGATCGGAAACCCAGGGGGGCGCTAAGAGCCCCCAAGGTCGC